TTGGCACATAACATTTTAACACTATGCACTATTTTAACCGACCTCAAAATAGGATCTGCATTTAGTTGGATTTTTTAAATCTGACCTGAGTTATTTCTAAATCGATTAACTTCCTTTTTTAAATGAATACGGTTGTAATTTGAAACTAAATGAAAATCGTTTCGTTGTCGTAAATATCATTTAATGATGTAATTTATCCACTTATTTTGATAACTAACGAAACTACCGGTCTGATTTTCATGAAGTTTATATGAGAATATTCTGATGAATAGTAAATTAAAACCACAATATGAAACCGCAATAGTGTTGATGAGTCGGTTTGTTATGTTTACCAAACGAATTCTAGTACCTATAGATGTTTAGTGCGGCATACTTCTTACGCTGAGCAAATTTACTTCAGCCACAATATTGTGAAGGTGTCACAGGGCCGCGCTAAATACGCCTCTGGTCGCTAAACTAGGCCACACATAAGTAGGGTGTAAATTCGATATCGACTGTTCAACCGACTCGAAATGAAGATAGTTCTCGATTCGACTATATTTTCTAACTGACGACCACTTCGTATAGACATGGTACGTGATGTCTTCGTTTTTATTGCTTTCAAATTGTGCATATATTATTCCTTTCTTTTACTACTTAAATAGCGAAAGAGTTAATTTCCTATATAATGAAAAGTGGCATTCTTCTCATTAATATACATGATCTGCTCTTTATACTTAATAATCAGTATTTCATAAATAGACATCACATCGTCACGTGACATCTGTCGTAAGCCTCTTACATTGCCATTCCTGGGCATTAAGGTTTCATGCTTGGATTCTGTAATTTCCCTGGCATATCTCACCTTTAAAACGGAAGCCAAGCCTACAAAGCAAGCTGCTTAGAAGCAAAAATTTTTTTTTTTTATATTCTAATGCTTAGCTGCAGTTTGCCTTTACAGCATTATCAAACGATAGAGAGCAAGTGTAGATGCCACTCCATTTGCACTTGCTCTCTATCGTTCTCATACCTACCTACGGATAAGGTATTTGTAATGGATAAGGTAAAAAAGCACTCGACTATTTTAATTCTTTTTCATCTTCAGCTTTAAAAAGCTGCGTTATTTTGTACTTACTTGTATTATTTGTTACGGAAAAAACGTTCTCTGTTAAAAAATCTTTATCTGTATTGCAACACCGCGACATACAGAACTCTATTATTATTCCATAATACTAAAATAGGCATACAATTTAACAAGATATTCGGTAATACCTACATATAATTTAAAAAGGTAGTAAATATATTGATAATGCATATTATAACCTATATTCTTATCAAATACACGTATTAGGTTTATTTCTTAGTAAATAATGCCAAAATAAAGTTCCCTCGCCTCAAGCAAACATGTCAGCTAGTATCTGTCTAATGGTCGATATAACAGTTTACTTTTACTTAATGCTTTGTTTGGAGTATTGATAACTTCATATTCTTCGTTTTATATTTTTAATTAACAATAGAATAATAGTTGTAGGTTAGACTACGCTACTTTGTGGAAGCTTAGGCCCAAGTCCGATACTTGTAAGTTTCTAAATTGATTCTGATTTGTATATTATGAGTGTCTACTCTCTCATAACACAAAATATCCTTTACATAGAATTTATAAAAAGAAGCCATTTTACGATAGGTAATTGATTGGTTGAGTAAGGCCCTTAAGCTCTAAAAAGTAACATTAAGACAAACGTTTTCTTTGATAATATTATTTAGAGAGTTTATTTTACATGGTAATTTATTTCTTTACTTAAATTTTATTACACTTCTATTTGTAATTATAGCGAGCTTACCACTGCCACTACCAGTGATCAAATGACAAATTCAAATTCAAATTCAAAAATTATTTATTCATGGAGGACATGCTTATGAACGTCAAACTTTTAACATTATAATTGAAATTTTTTTCCTACCGTCCATTTCAGTATATAGATCCAAATATAAATCTACAGGATAAAATTAGTAATATCTGTATATATAAATCAATAGCAAGTTAAAGAATAAATAATTAATAAAATCAAAAAAACATAACAAAGATATATGTTGTTGTAAATAAACATGTTTCCAAAAATCGATTTTTGACTAACACAAATATTCGATTAATTAACAAAGAACTTTGTTACTTATAGCCTACACAAATACAAAATCCTAGCAGTATCCAATGACTCTGCCCGCGTTACATATACTATGTTACTCGCTGATATTAAAGGTTTCTACGAGTGAAAGAATTTTCAAAATCGGTCAAGTATTTTTTCAATTCATCCATTATAAACAACACTACAAAAAAATTAATAAATCCTCCTTTTTAAATCTTGTTATGTTTATATTGGCTTGGCTTTACTCCATTATTTGGGGTCGCGCACTATCTCATGTTCTTCCACCGGTCCCTATCATATCTGAACTTACTCGCCTTTATTACAACTAATTTTTCATACAGTCCATTCATCTTTTTATCGGTCTTCTACCTTAACATCCACTTTTATATTAAAATCCTTTCCCGCATGACATATCCATACTAAGACAATCTATTACATCGTAACTTTTTCTAATTACATTAGTATAGATAATTTAACAATGCTTACTCCAACTACATAATTTAGACGTCTAACATGACACAAAGTACAGTTAAATTGTTGAATATTAGGACAGGGTCAAGTCAAACGGCAAGCCCACGCCGTTAGCCGCCAAGCGACAACTTCCTTATAAAATCGATATCAGTTTCAATTGTCATTTTACTATTATAAAACTATAATTCAAAATATATGATATGGTGATTAAAAATGAAACCTACCTGAAGTTCTAAACGAAACAGCTTGCAGAATTTCCCTCCCTACAATTTGAAGATTCAATAGTTATATTAAATTAACATATTTGCACTGTATTGGCCATTTATTGACAATGAAGAAGGAAAGTTTACTGCACAACTGCACATGTCAGACTAAGCATGTTTTACGACGTAGACAGGGACAATATAGGTTGGAAAAATTGAAGGATATCGATACGCGATATATCGTAATTTCGTAGGTATTTTAATGTTTAGAAATTCTATTTTTTTTCTCATGTAGAGTCACGTTGTTGTTTTATATGCATAAATATACATAGATTTGTATATAAACGTTTCACTTACTCTAATAATTTTTCATGCAGAGTCAGAGTCACGTTGTAATTTTTTATTGCTATATAAATATGAATAGATTTTATGTAAACGTTTCAGTCGCTGTAATAATATATGTATACTTAGGTAAATGTACATAGGTATTCGTGTATAGTTGTATATATAGTAAAAGACTTTATAAGAATTTGTTTGCGTGAGTAGAAGACAATGCTCCAACAGTTTCAGCTGGCGGGGCACCAGTGAAGGATGATAAGGAGCCTGAGATCGAGTCAGTTAGCCTATATTGTGATAAATTTACCAGAAAAGGCTAGCTGGTATACCATTATGCCATATGGCATAAAGCTCGCCTTTTGTATTATTTTATTGATTTTGGTAGATATTTTATCGTTAACTTTAGGGTAAGCGATGCTTTTTGTAATTTGTATAATTAACGAAATATGAAACACTCCTGAGTCCATATTTATCAATGGCGACGGGGATATAATTATTACAACTGACCGGTACAAAAAGCATCGCTTACCCTAAAGTTATCAATAAAATATATACCTCATGAACAATATCATGATGGGGAACCGCGTGTAGGTCAACCTGACGTGTTACATTGCGAACTATAGGGTCAGTTCACATTACTAACCCCATTCGCCCTGTCTCATCAACATTCTAGCTGTGAAGTTGCTTGCTTCGTGAGATGTGTTTAGGTAAAAAGGGGCAATGAAATTACTTATAAGAGGCATGACATCAGTCTTCCTGAAAGTAACAACACAGTAAGATAATACGTAACACGGTGTCCGTAGTACTGTTGATGTATATAGGTGTTAGTTACCATTTCCCATCAGGTGGACCGTCAGTTTGTTTAATATTCCAATTATATAAAAATATGCAGTATTTGAAACTGGAACAAGATACTAGTGAGGTTCAAATATCTAATAAACAATGTTACTTATTTTCAATTAGAGATCAGGTATAGGTACATGTGGAATTTTCTTATATTATATGAGATACACATAATATTAGAATTATGATCAATAGTAGATTATACGATATATTTTCCTAACCGTACCTACACATCCGCGGGATGAATTTTGTTGTAGTTTTATTTTTATTTAAATACCTACAAGAAAAATATTAGGAATACAAAGGTATATATGAACGATTATCAAGAAGTTGAAGTTAAACATTAATTGTAGATTAACAGATTTATTATAAATACAAATTTAGAATATAAATACATTTTTGATAAACCAGTTAAAACAAATTTGAGTAAAATTTATTTATATTACCTATAGCTTAAAAGCACCTACACACGTCCACTGTATTCGAGCAGTTGCCTTATGTAGGCAAATGTTAATCATTATTCTATCTGATTTATTTCATACGGCAGTAAGTAGACTAGGCACTCATTCTATGTGCTACGACAAACTAGTTCTAGTTCACCGCGTCGTTCAGCGTATTAGGTTTAAATCCCGATTTTTTTTCAGGGGAAAATACCTATTCATATTCAAACTTTATGTATGTATAAGAAATCCGGATGTACCCAATATATATACAATATTACAATTAATAAGTTACCATAATAAATGAAAGAAAGTTCACTGTTAAATTTATAAAAAAACATATTTTTAATTCAAAATATTAAATATGTACTATATTTAATCTAATCGGTAGGTAGATATTGTATTGTATATACAAATAAACAAATATGTATCATTATTGCAAATTTTAAAAGTTTAGTCATAATTCTTGAAAACAAAAAGCACTATGAAGTTTCACTGGCGAAAACTTTTCCGGATTAATTTCAAATGACGACAAAATACTAGATGAGTAATCTTGAAATAAGTTTTATAAATTTTTTACTCACCGACAATCCTGGGTTACATCCCGAAGTTATAGAGTTTTTCCTGAACTTCGGGACGCAGATCTGCATAGAGCTCTTTGGTTTTGGAGGAGGTCCAGCGCATCCGTACTCATCACTCCTGTTATTTCTTGTCAAATTAATATTGTTGGTGTTGTTTACTTTCACCAAAATATTACAAGTTTGCGACGCGATCTGGAACAGACCCTCCTCAAGATTCCTTTTATTGTTGTACTGTCGATTAATGTGCAAATAGTCCCACCACGAAGGCATTTTCTTTTATAAAAGTAGGAAAACGTGTTGCGTAGTCACGTTGTATGTCGGCGTGAAGACGTGCGATTGAGTACGGAGCCGACTGTACAATGGTAGTAGTGACATATTTATATAAGGTTCAATGTGGACTTGCGCGGTAAAACTTTATTTTTCGACAATGTACTGGGCAAGAATAAAGTCTAAGTGGAGTTTATAACTAGAAAAAACTATTACTAATGTTAAAATTAACATCATTATTTCATTATTACAACCATATTAATTAAAATACATCACAAATTAAATAAAGCAATAATATCTTCGAAATTATGTATACAAATTCAATAATACTCTCGAGAAAGAAATCGGAAATTATTCTTCGGTGACAATAGTACTCTTTCGATTATAAACAATAGATATTAAAATTATTGTGATATTGATAATCAAAGGCAACTCATAATGCACTTTCAGAGCCTAATAATATTATTTTGTATAAATAATGAAAATAGTAACTTTGTGTTATACTTTTTCCTTGATTGTACATTCAGCAGGTGGATTTATTAATATATGTATTATATGAATTCTATTGACGTTCGAAAGAGACATTATAAAATACAATTTAGAGAGTAGGTATATTTACATAGGAATTCCTATTACAGATACGTAAAATAATAATTCTGTAATAAAACTGTTGTGAGAAACGTTCCTGTTCTCGGGCGAAGTAAACTGCAGATTCTACATTGAATTCTTCAGACTTTTTTACTGTTGGTCATCAAATAATATAAATTTATGATTTATAGACATAGTTGCGAAATTTCATTTAGAGCGTTTGTATGGGGCAAAACCCACAGAGGACTGACCTCAAATGTTCGTCATATTTTTCTCTCTAGTCTAGAGCATTCGAAAAGAATGTAACATAGTAACATACAGCCAGATATAGTAAATTTTAGTTAAATATTATTTTTAATAAATTTCAGATGTCTACTCCATTATTGGAAGGTTATATGAAAAATATATATGTAAAATTAACCAAAAAGAAAAGTTCATAGCAAGAAGGGAACATCATTATAAATTAAAATAGGTACTTAAATTATATGTATCAACTCACAATAAATAACAAACAATACAGAGCTTAGTAAGTAGAAATGGTATGAAATAACTAAAAGGAAAAAAGGATTAAAAATACCGGTTCGAAAGGGGATACTGAATAATGGAGCGAGGATACCATCATTTCAAAGGGACACCACAGAATCGTTGGAGCATAAGAAAAAGTTAAATTACATAAACCGAATTATAGTTAAACTAAAGTATGTGTAAACGATATTTATTGCTAATCAAATGATGACAAACATTACACAAATAGAAATTAAAATAGATGAATTTTTCGGCTTTTGGGTTCACACTAGTCGTCGCGAGTAAAAGCTATTATAAATATAAAATATAAAAGTGATAAATACAGATTTAATAAATAGTACAAAATCTAAAATAAGTATGTTAAGAAGTAATAAGGAGCTATATGGATAGCGGTTTATACGGGCAACTTTGGATTTATAGAAAATATCTAATTATAAAATATAATACGAGCAAAAACAATCACTTAAATAAGTGAGTGGTCTTTCAAAAAATGTCTTTTAAAAAAATGTATCATACTGGGAAATGTTCCCGAATGATTTAAAACCAAATGTTCCCCAATGACCAAAACATAAATGCATCGAGTTTTAGACTTATAGTAGATGTTACGCCTAGTGACATCTGTTATAATAGCTAACAAACTTACAAGCCTAAAATTTGTTAGCTTAGATACTGACATCTGTTATCTACTTTCAAATATAAAGTTTATTAGATTTGATATCAGATGTCTATAGTCGTAAGTCTAAATCTCGATGCATTTATGTTTCGGTGGTTTATTAAAACTGATGCTTAATAAGAAAAGACAATTATTTAAAAAGAAGGGAGTTTTTGTAAAGAAATCACAAATTTGTCATTTAAGTGATTGCTTGTATTAGTGTGATAACTCGTAATAAACAAGACTGCAGTTAATTCTAGTAACAGGTTGACTCGAACCGTCGTATAAGTAACTCACGGACACCACAAAATTTCTGATGCCTTTGGTACACTTATAGATGTAATGACTGTTTTGAACCAATTCAACCGGTTCGGTTTAAAACCAAAATAACCGTTTTAAACGTTTAAAAACCAAATGGATTAAAGTAGTTGAAAACTGATTTTTTCTCTTCGGACCTCAGGTTTTCCACCTAATGCTTCATTCCCTGGAACATCGATATGGAGGTTACTATTACAAAATAAAACAATAAATTTGTTTTTATGATATATTCAAAATTTATAATCACACTCACATGACTTCAATAATAATTTAGTTACAATCAATGTATCAATATATCAATCTGCCATTGCTGATGTATAATTGGAATCGGTTTCTTACAGAATTACTTAATCTTAAGTTTCTAAAATTTTAAAAATATTACATCTCTAGTTATTTATAGGTAACAAACAGATAGACAGATATGCTTTCATAGTTAAAACTTAGTGTGGAAAGTATTAAATGGATTGGAATTGGACATTGAATACTGGAGCGAGGATACCATCAGTCCAACGCCACACCACAGGAGCATTGAAGTGTAGCTCACACTCCAGCATGCAAGACCGCAACCGAATTCCAGCTCAATTACATAAAATGTAAATATCTGTTTCTAATATCGAACTAACCGTTTTTTATTAAATGAATATGAATAAGCCAGTGGATGGAAGAGATACTGGTCTCTGAGAGAGATAATGAAGAACAAGAGCATACAACTGTCAACAAAAATAAAGACATTTAATACTTGCATTCTGCAGTGTCTGACATACGGATGCGAAACATGGGCCTTAAACAAAGAACAGCGGGAGAAATTGCAAAGATGTCAAAGAGCCATGGAGAGAAGTATGTTAGGGATAAGCAGAAAAGACAGACACAGATGTGAGAATATAAGAGCAAAAACTAACTTGACAGACATTCTTGTACAGATAGACTAACAAAAATGGAGATGGACTGGGCACATGATCCAAAGCAAACCTGAAAAATGGAGTACTTGTGTAACTGAATGGTATCCAAGGGAAACAAAAAGAAAAAGAGGTAGACCACAGAGACGCTGGGAGGATGAAATCAAGCTAACAGCATCAAGGCCCCTACTGGAGAAGAGCAGCCCAAAATAGAGTACACTAGAAGTAATTAGAGGAGGCCTTTACCATAAGGCACTCTGTACCTACTGCGGGATATAATATAGGTAATGAAATTAATAATTAAACATAAAAAATTAAACTACTTAACAAATGTGCAAATAATAATAGTAAAAAAATATATATAATAATAATAAATTTATAGTATAATATAATAATATGAATGTAACAAAAAAAAAATGTATAATAGTACAGAAATAAAGACTTCTTTATCTTTATAAATACACCAAAATGACATTTTTTACACTTTTTGTATGTCTGTCTGCTTGTTCCGGCTTATCTCTGAAATGGCGAGACCGATTTTGACGAGACTTTTTTTGGCAGGTAGCTGATGTGATAAGGAGTAAGTTACTCCTTATTACATCAGCTAGGCTACTTTTATTTCAGAAAAATAAATTTAATTTCCACGCGGACGAAGTCACGGGAACAGCTAGTATAATATAAAAGTGAACAAATAAATAAATACAGATTTCATAAACATAGGTTTCTCATTCTTAATACAACAGCGGGCGTATTATGAACTCTTATTCTGATTTTAGAGAGTTCATAATACGCCCCCATATAACAAAATATATTACATATATAAAGCCTAAAATAAATATGTTACGGTTAAGCTAAGTATGATATATTAATTTATTATTATTTATTATATATGTATATTATACTTTTTACATTAATATTTTTTAATATTATACAAGCGATCACTTAATTATGTGACTGCTTCACAAAAATTTCATTCTTTTTAAGTAATTTATTCTTATTAATCATCAGTCTTAACAAACCACTAGAACATAAATGCACCGAGTTTTAGACTTATAGCAGAAGTTACTAGGCGTGACATCTATTGTAAAAGTAAGTAAACCTACAAGTCTACATTTGTTACATGTTAGTGACATCTGTTAACAACTTTCAAGTATAAAGTTTGTTAGATTTGATAACAGATGTCACCAGGCGTAAGTCTAAAACTCGATACATTTACGATTTAGTGGTTTATTAGAACTGATGATTAATAAGAATAAGTATTAAAGTAAACTGAATTGAATTTTTGTAAAGCGGTCACATTTAAATTTAAAGTGGTTGCTTTTATTATTTAATCATTAATAAAAATAATAAGGATAGGTATATAAGAATATATACAATAAAATATAAAGAACATAACGCATTGACAACGGAATTTATGAATTAAAGAAGGGCACACGAGTTCTAAGTTGTTAGTAACATCACAGGTAACATAAGTCGTCGGTTAAATAGAAAAATGGCAGTATTCAAAATGTACATTTTTTTACAAGAGAAACATTAAAGTTTTTTTTAATTTATTTAAATTATTTTTCTTTTAGTTTTAAATTTACACATATATATTATATATTATTTTAAAAGTATTTAGATAATGATTAAGACTGCGAGGTTAATTTAATTGATTTATATAAAAGGAGGCAATTCTAGCTCCTAATTTTGAAAAATGTTATTTTTCTATTTAATCAACGAAATAATATGTAACAATAACCCCATTGCTAACAATGTTCCATGTCAGGCTGACCTCTATGCGGTTCCTCCTAGAAATCATCGTGATAAATTCCTGGTGCTGCCATCATACACCGTTAGTGCAGATGGATGCATCATTCCATTACCATACTAAAAAATGGTATCATCTTGGCAAGTGGCAATTTACCACAATGGTTTCCAGAGGGAAACGCATAGAGGTCAATCTGACATGGTACATTGTTAGCAATGGGGTTATTGTTATATATTACTAACAATCTCTTTCCCCCATAGCTAAACTTATAAATAAAGAGCAACTTTAAGTTTACTACTAGTACTTTAACTGTACTTTTGGTTATCTATTTTTATTTACTTTAATAAAAAATCAAATTTATGGGAACATAATCCTGGTTAATGTTAGATGTATTAATAAAAGCACATTGGTATTATCATACATTATATTATATTACAGTAAAATTACATCTAATTTACGTCTTTCATTTCAACATCGTCCGAAACTGAATCTACATCATCAGGTTCATCAAGCAATGCTTGTAGTTGGTGTATCGAAGTTACCAATACATGAAACTGTTTTTTTCTTAAAGACAGTCTGCTCTCTACCTGCTGCTTTGTAGCCTCAAGACCACTCAACTCTGTTTTCAATGTACCCAGCCTTTCCAATGTTTCTTTTCTATCTGGTTGTTCACTTATAACTTTAGCCAACACATCATATTCTATTCTATTCTTACGCACAGTTTTTGCCTGTGCCAAGTCAGCTTTGCTCTTCTCTATATTTTTTTTAGCCACTTCTATACCAGTTTCGAGTATTTTTGATAATGATTCGTAACTGTTCAATTCTGCCGCCATCATATCTGATGCCAGTTGGGACTTTGTAACAGCAAATTCACACTGTGCAAGTTGTGCCAACATTCGATCATGAGTTGATTTACTGTAATCATAAAATTTATTTAATTAATACATGGGAACGAAAAACAAGCAACAAACAAAAGTGTATTATGGAGATACTAGATTTTTAGTACATATATAAGAGTAGAACATACAATTTTAAACATGATGTCAGCTCAATTAGCTTATAATGTATCCATAAGAAATTAACCACAACAGTTCAGATATTTACACATATAGTGAGAATACGACAAGATCACTTTCCTCCTACCCTCCATGTACGAGGAGACCTTGATTAGACTTTAATAACAGTGATTAGAAATTGTACGAGAAAAATTTTCATACATAACACCATAACTTTGAAACTAACCTCTCTTCCGGTTTTTCATCTGAACACCATTTTATTAATGTTTTTAGTAACACATTCAGCCTTCTGTCATCACCTGTTCCATCTCCATCAATAAGAAGGCGTCTGCGAATGACATCCTCTGCAAGTAGATACAGTCCTTTAGTATTATATTGTAAACGACTGTTTTGGTATACTGTTATGATAAAAGTAATATTTACCATCAGCCATCATCAGTTTTTTAAATAGAGCTTAGTTTTTAAAATCAGAATTAATAATTAATTTACTAGTATGTATATGTAAAATTAGAAATGAAATATTAAACGAGGTGTAAATAAACAAACTTAATTTTACTAGTACAAGGATCACAAACAATAAGAAAACAAAATAAAAAGACGTTTTGAACAATTTCTATCACCCCACACCACAGAACTTCACAGAAACGACTTTTTTTGTTCTGTTTATTGTATTGAAAAGGCAAAGGAAACTACCCCATACAGCCATGCCTGCATGTTTTTGATGGTCTTAATTTTCTTAGTTTATTCTATATGTCCTGAATTATTGCACAGTGCAATGAATGTTCATAAGTTTCTTTATAGTATGATGCAAAAAATGTTTTTGTGTCCCTTAATAGTTTCTGAAGTGAGCGCGGGACATACCACCCACCAAGCAGATTCGAAGGAGTCCGCCGGACAGAAAACTCGCTGTATAGAAAAAATTCCGACAAATCGCAACAGAAACTCGCCAAACGGATAAAACTTCTCCACACAACGAACCCCCTATCTGGAGGACCCCCCAGATTGGGAGGTTGGGGGGCCCAATCGACCACGGCAAAGATGCAACAGGAAGTTTGAGTATACGAAGTTTGAGCTTCGATCTAACTGACACATTAAAATAGCTGTCATTCCACTTACGTTATTTGTGCTCATGCCTTTCACTGTCAGTTATTAATGTCAATAAAATGTTCTATTTTCACTGTTCCCGAATTTTTCTTCATATTTTCTATAATCCACTTTCAAGAAAATCATGTCTTTTTTAACTACAGTTCCATGAAAATATAATTGTTTTGTCGTTAACATTACTCCAATAATTCAAAAATTAAAGCGAAAACCATGGATGAAATAACTTTCAGTGATAAAGTTGAAACGTACTTTTCAGAACTAGGGCGATGGCTAGTATTCTTGTTTACTCTGGATTTGTTTATATTTACGTAGTTTGTAATTAATGTAATACATAATATTTATATTATTACAGGAAAGTGTGGCGAAGCATACTTTTAGGCCAAGTCCTGTCCCTTCTACTGAGCTGTAAATGCATTTTGACTACATTATTGCAGAGTGCTACATGGCAGTTTCCTATTACAGGACAACTTGTTGTGCCGTATATGACACTGTTTGTTTTGTTTACTCCGATGTTACTATGTAATGGAGTGAAAAAATTATTAAAGTAAGTGCCGGTATTTATTTATATACATAGTAAATACTTTTAAGTGTATTTAATACTTGTAGAAATAATATATATCCACCTTTTTTCCACCAAGTGGCTTATGTACTATCTAGTCGTATCGAAGGCCTAAATGTAGCAGTAAAATTAAGCAAATACAGAGAAATAATACTTTAGTCCACATGAAAGTTAATTTATGAAGAATATACTATAGGTCTTTCAATATGTTTTTTAATTTTTAATAATGACATGATAATTGTGACACTTTTCTTGTCTATAGATGACAATTACCACATTTCAACATGTAGGTTACAAATTTTTTTGCATTTCAGTCACAGAAAATTGTTATGTAAAGTAAATATCTATTTAATTGCTCAATTTGCTTTTGTTTTTCTCTTTTGGTATGAATTAAAACAGATAATATTGCTAAATATCTTTTTCAGGAGATGGTGGATAGTTGTCATTGCATGTACGCTGGATGTAGAGGCTAGTTGGCTCCTGGTCATGTCACAGCGATTCACATCAGTTTTGAGCTGACAGCTGCTCGCATGTAGTGGTGTTGGTGCAGCACTGGTGGGCGGTGCATGGCGGGGACAGCGACTTGGAGTGGCGCATGTTGCTGGCGCCACATTGGGCCTCATGGCTGTTGTCTGTGTGGTATGGGCTGATGTAGAAGGTGCCCCAACAGATGGTATGTCTAAGTTGCAATGTATAATTAACTTTTGTTATAAATTTTTTGTCTAAGCTGTTTTTTTGTAGTCAATCTATACTGATATTAAAGATGAAGGACAGCTCTAAAAGTACTAGACCAATTTAAAAAAAAAAAATTCTGGTTGCCAATTATATTATAACATCATGCTAAAACCAATAAGAGTAAAACAGCATTGAATAATAATGCAAAGAGGAGGAAAAAGTGACACTGATATAGTGGTATAATTTCAATTAGATAGATAGATAAAATCTTTTATTTTTCCAATTTTTATTATTTACACTTATACTGTCCTGCAAAACTCCTATCAGGGTTTGACGGCAGGTACATAGTTCTCTCTTATCTACTTACTAAATAGGTACATATTTACATATATTATTTTAGACAGTATTTTAATTCACACACAAAATACAGTATTCTGTTTGAATAAACTAAACTAGTCTTTAGATTTCTATTTGTACTATTTATTATTTATATACTTTTCATTTTTTTTTCAGGTAAAAACCAGTTAGTTGGTGACATGCTGTGTCTCGGAGGATCCTTGCTGTTTGCAATGGTTACTGTGCTACAAGAAATGATGCTCAAAACTCATTCATGCTCAGATTACCTGGCTTTACTCGGTCTGATCGGTAGTGTGGTGTCATGTACCCAGACATTCTTCTTAGAGTTCAGCGAGCTGGTGACATTTAACTGGTATGAGTTAGACACAATCATGCAGCTGGGCAGTTACTGCACAGTGCAGACAATATTCCAGATACTACAGTGCTTTATGCTCAGAGATGCTGGATCTATTATATTGCATCTGTCTTTCTTGTCAGCAGATTACTATACTCTCATTGCTGGAATGTACATATTTCAATTTAAGGTGAGATATTTTTACGATATCAGGCATTACATAATCTTATAAATAAAATTATCGTATCACAATGTTAGTTACTCTATACTCCTCAGAAATGGATTGACTGATTTTTTGATTCAGAAATATTTTTTTCTGATTTTGCAATTTTATATACATTTAATGTATTGCAAAATAATTTTATATACATTTAATGTATTGCAAAATAATTTTATATACATTTAATGTATTGCAAAATATTTTCTTCTATATTTTTTGCTCTAAAAGTTGTCTGGAAGTGATTGCTTAAATGATAAGACTGTGTTCGGGTGAATAATACAATGTTATCTTCGAGACGATGTATATTACAGATGATAATAAACTAACAATATGTACATAAAAATAATGATCTTATATACTAAATAACAATAGGAAAATGTAAGGTGGGGTGACACAGTTTAGACACGGCAGTGCTTAGTAGACAGTATTGAATTTGTCTTACTAGACATTATTAAATGCAATTATTATTTTGATGTATCTAGGTGACTGTGTCCCATAGACTGCCTATTGTGGTTTCTTAATTATGTTCTTTCTAATTAATTTCTGGTGCGATAAATATTAATAAGTAAACTTTTGAATTCACAGTTCCATGCGCTATACTTCTTATCGTACCTGCTGGCGATGGTAGGCGTGTTTCTGTTCAGCGCAAGACCGTCTACCCCACCTCAGCCTTTACCGCAGCAGCCGGAGAGGTTGCCTCAACTTGTTAACGATTCTGTGCAGTCTCAGGACAATGTCTCCATGTAAGTTTTACTAATAATAATAATTATGAATAATTCACACAGTGCCATCTAGTCCTAAATTGAGCAGAGCTTGTGTTATGAGTACTAAAGAAGTGATAGAATACTTAAATACAATGTTTGTGAATACATAAGTAATGGCCATAGAAAACAGTCAGACCAATACAAACAATCATACTAATGAATACAAACTACTGGCAATGTTAAGTGGTAATAAGTGAAGAAGGAAGAGAGGTAAAAGAGAAAGACCCCTATAGTCATAGGGGGTCATGCCCTTTTACCTATAACCACTTACAATTTTTTTTATACTATGATGCAAACTAGCATATGGCTCATCTGATGGTAAATGATTAGCGTAACCTGATGTAACCTAACGCCATGGCCGAAACACCACACAATTATTTTGAAAATAATTCTATTTACAGGGAGTACACAGTTCCAACACTGGACTGTATACCCATAGAAGGATTAGAACCACCAATGAGCAGAGATACGACATTCACATCGTTCCTGGGGGGCCCCCAAAACAGTGTACCAAATGGAACAATTTCGTATGGTCACTCAAACGGCACGCAGAACATCAAGGACCCCTGTTAGTGAAGCATAGTTTTATTGTAGCTTGTACTTTATTATAGACTTGTTTATATATAAGACTAACTATACTCAGTTGCAGTAAAACTAACATAAAAGGTAAAAAAGTTTGTATTGTCATTACAAATATGACAGTACCCTATTACTTTAGCTTCGTTTGGTATTTTTATTATTTATATTGAATACATTGATATTATTTATTCTATATTTATGATTTGTATTCATGGATGATTTTTTTTATTGTGCATCCATACATGAACAAATGCATTTTTTTTAATACTATAATTAACTTCCACCTCCCCATTTCTTAATGATATACTTAAAATACATTTTAGAAAGTGAAAACAAATAAATACTGCTACCAAATGTGGTTATATGTATTGTTAAAGCTCTCAAAAATCGACTAAATGTGTTATTATTTCCATTTAGTGAGTGTTTATATGATATTTTTGACGATAAAATATTTGTTTGCCTTTTATGTAAGTTCTATTGGAACGGGCTTAGGTAACTAAACTCAAACAATTATTTGTGAATTACCTGTGGTGCATTAGGGTATTTGATTACTATGAAAATGTAATGTGTTTAGCTATTATGAGAAATTATTTCGAGATAGAATTTTATGTAATCTGTTGGTCAAGTTAGTTGAATAATTTTGAATGCAGATTATATTGCAATTACGGGTCTATCGTTGTATAGATATTAACAATGTCTTTTTAAAGATGTGAGTCGTTAGTATAATTATTTATTCTAAAAAAAGTTGTCAAATACCCTATACTGATGTCAATAATCATAAAATACTGTTTACTGATAAATGATCAAAAAATTATTGTTACTATACAAGGCCTGTAGAAAGGGTATACTAAACCGCTAGCGCTAACATATTACTAGTAACTAATTCATTGATACCGTGTGATATTATTTCTGAAAAATATTTTTATTTTCATAGGAAAATAAACATGTATTATTTATTACAAAGAATCGCCAACCCTATTTGTTCGTATCCAATCAAAAACAGCCGACGTTCATGATTAGAATGGTAAGTAGAGGGCGTAACCAAATTACGTGTAACATATTTTCGTATTATTACAGCTGATGTTAGGGCTGTGTCTTTTGTTAATGTATATTTATACATCAATTTGAACCCGCTTTTCTTAAAAAAATACATGGATTCAAGGAAAGTTGTAGAACAAAAGATATTCTTTACTATGGGTGGGTACTTTCATATCCTTGCGGTTTAGTTATACCCTTTAAGACTAATCCTGTATAATCATAAAATCACTATTTATACTGATTTTTATGATCATGTAGTCATTGTTACCTATTTATAATCGTTAAATTTCCTCTCCGATCGATCCAACGTTCAATTCAAATGAGGATTGGAATTATGGCGGCCTGAACTGAGTTTCGAACGCCCTAGCGCTGCCCCTAGACTAAAGTTGTATCCGTCAGGTGGGAGTTGTCCTCAGCCGCTCCATAAGTCCTCCCACGGGTCTTAGGTGCCATATGCACTCGCCCCCTATCGTCCGGTGAAGCTGTAAAGGCCAGCTGCGACCAACTGCATTCGAGTTGTCCGAAAAAAAGATCGCTAAATTGCTGTTACTCCTGATGATCATAAAATCAGTATTTTATTAACTCATAATAAAAATTAAGATAGCTACAATTAATATAATTGTACAGTAAGTAACATTAGATGCACTTCTGACACGAATCAATACTTTATGAGTTTAAAGTGAATGAAGATACTAATAAAAATTTATAAAAAAATATTAATATTGTAAATGTTTTTAGTTGTATAAGTTTTCTGATTGTTAGCTAAACGATATTAATAAATAGGTTGTATGATTATTTAAATGGTTATAAAATGTGTTGAAAAATACACACAAATGTATACACATGTAAGCACACATTAGAGAGTGTTTTATCATGTTTAGTGATAATAGTAATACTAATTGCTAGTCGTAAATAGTAATTTATATTCATATTACTTAGCGCACAATTCACATAATACATTGCAATAATTTTTTACCATTATAAACAATTAAATCAATTGTTAAAATATATCGGATATAGTTATAGAGCCTAATAATAATCAATTAAACTGATCAATTTGTAACACTGGATGCATAATCAAAGTTGTGCTTATATTGAGTGTATTTCAGTAATAATAACTAAGTAATTTACACAGCGCCATATAGTCCCAAGCAACAACTGATATAAATACTTGAATATTTTTTTGTAAATAATAGTTCAACGAGGTGACAACCTCACACAATATAATAAATATTATATATAGTTTTTAATTTGAGTTTGTTGTAGATATAAATTGATTACAATTACAATTGTAGCGCTGTAACCTCACCACTATACACTATAGTAAGTACATATACAGGTGTAATAATTGAATTACATTAGTAAGTTTATTTGATAAGATACATTCGATGCGGTGTCGTAACGTAGAATAACTTTATAGTGAACTTGAATCCATGTTATGTAGAGACGTAAACTAATGTAAAGGTGCCAAGTGTTGACGGAAATATTACAAGTGTAGGCACACAATCAATATGTATCCCGTGTTATAATTGATAAATAGATATAAAACTAAAACTGCCACATACTCGAATTTTTACTCGGAAAATTTTAACAGAATACGGTTTAGCTACATTTGTATGGAATTTTAAACTAGTTTCTATGAGAGAAATGTATTGGAATTGTTTAAGAATTAGTAAAGTTACATATAAAATAAAGACTTAGAACATTTACCTATATAGCTTTGTAAATTTATATAAGATTAATGTGTAAGCAATTATTTTGACCTGAAGGAAGAAAAACTAGTACTAGTGTTTATAATAATATAAAGATATTTCTTTATGATTAAATATACACACAGCATTACTCATTTGTCATGTGTGTACATTCAAACGATAATTTAGGAACGACATTAAAATCTATACATCAAGAATATAAAGAGTAGCAACAATATGCTTAAAGATTAATGTATTGGTGGAAATATACCACCTGAGCGTGCAGCAAATTCATGCTTGCCTTTACCTAAAAACACTGAGTGATTTAGATAAAGAAATGCATGCATATAATATTAGATTCTTACATTTTCTAAACAGTAGATATTTAACTTTCTGTACAGGAAAGATGTGAGAAAAATTATATTTTTTCTCTTTGTTTGTTCGCCCTAACGCGACCTAATTTCTGAAACGGCTTAATCGATTTGGGTGGTTTGTTTGTGGCGATGGGTTAGTTTTTACTAATGTATTTAAAATATAAAAAAATAGTTTTGGAGTGAGAGGAAATCACTGAATTTTTTAATGTCCGTGCTATCAGCTGTATTATAATCTAGCATGCTACAGCAAGCTGACTATTTATTATCTTCAATATATAGATTTATCTCTCATTTGATAGCAGCAAGAACCAGGATTACTTTTTATATTTTTTTAACATTTGCGACGCCGCTGTTCCGTAACACACACTCGGAACCGCAGCTGACTTTCACTAGGCTTCATAATACAACTACTATAACAATCTAAGATGCTTTCGACCGGGAGAAAATTTATCACCGGAACTTGTTGCTGGCTCACGGGATATAACGAGAATCATAATAATGGTGTCTACGTTATTCTTTTCCACTGTACTTGCTTTTATTCTTCAGGTCAATCTCATAAGTACTATATAATAGTTATTTGTGAAGCTGTGATTTTGTTCCTTATCAAAATAATACTATTGTTAATTGCTTTACCAAGAATTTATTGATCTCAACGTTGATATTTCTAGCTTACATTATTATTTTAGTGCAGTGATTTTATATTTAAAAATGCTCAATTATTAATAATAAGATTTTATTAATAAATCATACAAATATTTAACAGTCCATTAGATAAACCCACCAACTTTTATTGTTACATTTAAATGTCTGATATATATTTTATATTTTGTTTTACAGGAAACTAATATATTCGGCAAATAATTTGTTACATAAATGTGATACGGTTGTGTTAATTTATGTTATATTTATAAAAGTAATGATAGGCGATATTATAATACTAAATAGAAACGTTGCATTTCTACAATATGCTGAATTTTCATAACACGTATTATAACTTTTTTAATATGAAATAAACTTTTTCATTCGTTTATAAATATTATATACATAAATAGGAAGTATACTAAATTTGTAAATTCTTTAGCAGGTATATCGAAATAAACCAAAAAGTTGAACTGCAATGTGAAATGTTAGAGAAAAATAAGCAATAACTCCAATTTAACAAAAATGTACTAAGTATTTGAATTTTTGCTTTGTATAGATTTAACCGTTCAAGACTAGTCATTTACCGTAAGGCCTAGTCGACTTGGTCGATGACTATGTACATAATCTCTATTTTCAAGTTTTATACTATGCTCGTTCCGACTAGTCACAATTGTACAAATTTTTAAGGGCAGCAAATTCAGCTCTGGTCTTATAGATCCAATTTTGTTAAGGCCAATAGGCCATTTTGTTTTGTAGGATTTGCTTTACCTGTACTACATTACTATAGTAAAATATATACTTTTATCAGTGGATATTTATAATTGACTGAGAAAGCTGGTGTTTGCTCATTATACCAGCATGGTGCCGATGACAAAAATCTACTAAAATGGAAGTAATTTAAAACTTCAACTCTTTTAAATTTAAAACACTGTAAAAGTAAAACAGGATTATGAAAGAATAACAGCTTATTAGAACAACAGGTTATTTTTTAATCCAGCTGGTTTGTAAACAAAAATGTTGTACGAATTGGAGTACGCAGATAGTCACTAATAAAGATCTTATAAAAAAGTAAAATGATAAAATGACAGACATGTCATCCGCACCTTACTACAACGCGCAGAGCATAAGAAATTTTGTGCCCCTAATAAATAGGAAATATTTTTCTGTACTTTGAGTTCAGTGAAATGTATCTAATAATGAGTGTCTTCGAAATTTTATCTAACATGTATTTTAAATTTGGTAAATATACAACATTTTCTGAATGAAATAATTGTTTTTTTTTGTATTGTTTTTATGGTGTTATTTTGAGGTATTTATTTTGTTGTAGGTAATCATCTGATCCCCGCAACTTTGTGTACTTAAAATTAGTACTTCAATTGCCTATTTTCTATTTATATTATCCCTTATTAGCGAAATATATGATTCTCCATACTTTCATCCTCTATATCAACTGTGCCAGATTACACTTTGATAGAATAGAATAAAACGGATGTCGGTCATCATGAAAGGTAACAATTATTATAAATAAAAAATAGTCAAACTATTATATATCATATTATTATTAGAAACGAAAATATGTAATAAATTTACATTTATAATATACATATGAGATTGGATTGTTATTAGTTTTTTTTTATTATATTACGTTGGTGGCAAATAAGCATACGGCCTAATATGATGGTAAACAGTTATCGTAGCCTATGTACGCCTAAAACTCCGTTCAGTTTACGTTTGACTACCGCTGGTAAACGTTATTTATTAACTTTTACCCATTGTACTCGAATTCCCATGCGTTGCTATTCCCAGGTTACATGTACGGTAAATTTATTGTACCTAACCAACAATTTTACTGCCTTGTCTCTTTAACCAGAACAATTTGCTTCTTACCTGCAAAAATAGGCAAGATTTACCTACGCAAACGATTGTATACTAATCTGGCTCTAATATAACGAATTTCAGATTGTAAGTACTGGGTATATTCATAAAATATATCAACACAACATTTTCATACTTTTATTAATAGCCACATCAGCCACAAGCTACGTCACAAATGAAATTATTACATTATGTAAATAGTAAACAAAAATCTTATAATACAAACTGCTACCTAAGTAGCTTATTAATATACAGAAGTTATGCTTCATCTTCGCTGGCGGATACGGACTTCGCAGAGACCGGTGAGTCAGATCTAGAGCCAGAACGAGATCTGGATCCTGAGCGTGATCTAGAACCGGATCGAGATCGCGAACCTGACTTTGAACGCGAGCGTGACTTGCTTCGTGAACCGCTTTTCGAACGTGACCGAGCTCGCGATCCACTCTTTGATCGTGACCGAGCCCGTGACCCACTCTTTGACCGTGATCTGTCTCGAGATCCGCTTTTGGAGCGTGATCTATCTCGAGATCCACTCTTGGAGCGTGATCGTGCTCGAGATCCGCTTTTAGAGCGTGATCTAGCTCTAGATCCGCTTTTGGAGCGTGATCGATCTCGGGATCCGCTCTTAGAGCGTGACCTGGCACGAGATCCGCTCTTGGAGCGTGATCGGTCTCGAGATCCGCTCTTAGAGCGTGACCTGTCTCGAGATCCGCTTTTGGAGCGGGATCGGTCTCGAGATCCACTTTTGGATCTGGATCGGGATTTACGGGTTGATCTGAAATTTTAAAATTATTACATTAGGGCGATGTAACTTAATATAAAAAAATAGGAACTACAGATATTTTCTATATATATTAATTATATACCACACACACACAGACCCTTAGAACTATAAATCATATTATAGTGCGTATTTAAGCAGTATATACACTTCCTGCTATACTATTTATAAAAAAAAGAGTCTTACAAATTATGTAGAAATTATGCAGAAAATTTATTACAAGAATTGAATTTTTTGATGGATGGTTCAATCTGGCCGTTTTTCAGTGCGTCTTGCTCTTCCCTGTCATGTATATAAACTTGGAAATTTAATAAAAATCATCCCACCTACATGGTTGTAAATAAAAATTAATATTTCTTTATATTTACCCGTCACTGTCCGAAGCGGACATGATCCTCTTGCGGCCTTTATTAGCAGGCGGACTGCGGCTGCGACTGCCGCTGCGGCTCCGACTGCGGCTGCGACTCTTGCGGGAACCATCCGAGTCCGACTCTGATGTCGATATGGTCTCTTTCGATACAATCTTTGCGCGTTGTTTAGCGCTGAGTTTCTCGTCAGCAGCCTTGGCAGCTTTCTCGCGGCGACCAATACCTTTTTCGCCCTGTTTGAACAAATTAATATTTAGAATTCATGTATTAATGCACGAGTTTCACTTTTTTATGTAATTGCAATGGCAAGTAAGCCGAAGTTGCACCACCATGTTATCACCATGGACATAATTTTGTCTTGTATTATTTATGGTAAAAAAGTATTTTCTGATACTAATACGGGCAATAATGTAGTGAAGGGACCATTTTCTGTATAGAAATTCTAATGTATGTGCATAAATTGACCTTGACATTTTATAATTATGGTATTGGTCTGGGTGTTTCCTTTGTATATTGTCTCTGTATTTACAAACAAAAATGTATTTAAGCATATCTAACAGATGTCTTGTACCTATAACACAAGCTCTGCTTAGCTTAGTACTGGATGGCGCTATGTGAATTGTCCAGACTTATAGTTATATATCTCTGGAACACGCAGTTGATGATGATTTATACCAATAATTTGAACTTATAACCGTAAAAATGTATTTCGTTATCGGCTTAAAATAGTTAATAAGCCGCTGATGACTAAAGCTTTAATATTTCAATTTCACTGTCATATCATCTCATACAACCGAATAACAGATTACAAGCTACATGATGGCGGAAATAGATGAATCAAAGATGTTCACGCAGGCGACTATCTGCAACTACTCTCTGCGACTGCAGTGATACTCGTACTTGTGTTCTTTGGGATTGTTACCTTTTTGCGTCCCTTCTTCCGCGGCGGATCGCTGTCGCTGCCCGAGCCTCGCTCGCGTCGCTTGCGAGACCGACCCTTTCTGTTCTCCTTGGGCTCCTTGGGCTTGCGTTTCCGAGCTTTCGATGATTCTCTGTGTAATACATAATCATAATATATTAATACGTGTAGTAAAAACCTAGTCCATTTATATAATGGCTAATATAGTAAGAAGGTCTGTTTGGATAGTGAATATAATATAAGAGAGTTCCGTACCCGTCGTCGGCGCGCGGCGCGTCGCTGCCGCTGCCCGAGTCGGACACGTACTCGTCGCGGCGGCGGCCCCGCCCCTTCGACTTCGCCTCCGGCGGCATTTCCGCGAACAGGAGCGCGTTCTTCGTCTTCTCCTTGTATTCCTGCCTCTTCTGCAGCATTTCTACGGTGCTCTTTTGTTGTTCCTCTTCTCGGCGACGCCTTTCTTCTTCCTGTTAAACATTTTTTTTTATTATAAGCGATTGACGAAATGTCTAATATTAAAAATATATTGTACTAGTATTTAGGGGACGCGAATCAGTTTTAACTAATAAGGTTGTCTAACTTTTATTTACGGTTTTACATGTACAAAAATTACAATGGGTAATCGGTTTGGTCACTACAGCACTTGCAATAGCAGGTGCTAGGTGGTGGGCGACTGGCGTATATGTCCGCGATGAGTGAACTTCTCTACTCATTTTGTGGCGGTGATCAAAGCAACAGGTGACAGTCGACGGCCTACATAATTACGCGGCGGTACGTCGCGGGCTGCAAGCGTACCAGACCGCATTCGCAGCCCGCGGCGGCGGCTGGACTGAGACGCGGTTTCGTGCCGGGGGCGCAGTGACTACTGACCTGCTGTCGGCGGAAGGCCTCACGCTGCTCGCGCTGTCGATCACGCAGCGTGAGCTCCTCGTGGTGCTGGCGGCGGGCGCGCGCCACGTGCCACTGCGCCTGCGAGAGCAGGTCGGCGGCGGCGCGCGCCTCCGCCGCGGCGGCCTGCGGCTCGAGGCGCGCGCGCTCCGCGCCGTCGGCGGGCGCGGCGGCGGCGGCGGCGGCGGGCGCGGCGCCGGCCAGCCGCGCGAAGTAGCGGTGCGCCAGCTGCAGCTCGTGCACGGCGCGCAGCACCTGGCGCAGCGCGGCGCGCTCGTCGCGCAGCACGTGGGCGGCGAGGCGGCGCAGCGCCAGCGCGGCGTTGTAGAGCAGCGCGGCGTCGTGCGGCGCGACCCGCCGCGCGCGCAGCAGCAGCGCCCGAGCGGCACGCGCGCGCCCCGCCGCCGCCGCCGCGCGCGCCGCCCACGTCAGCCACTCCACGTCGTGGTGCATGCGGAACTTGCGGATGCAGTTCTCGTACTGACGCACGCAACGTTCATTATCTTAATATTATAAATGCGATAATATTACAAACGCGAAAGGTTTTGAGTGTGGACCTTTGTTACTCTTTCACACAAAAGCTACTGAACGGTTTTGAATTAACTTTACAGTTATATAGCTTATAAGATATAAGCTATATATTTTACGCGAGTGAAAGCACGGGCAAAGCTAGTAATTAATATTACAGGGCTGCGAAGGCTGCGAGGAGTTCGCGCATCGATGGCACTGGAGACGGAGCAGAACACGCGTGATCGGGCACGAGACTCGCAAGATTCCTCTTCCGTACACTTCCTAACGGGAGAATACGGAAAATAATCTAGTGCTGTCAGGCCCAAAAGGGCTGGAGCTGTGGTGTTCACCAACTCAAAGAGGGTAAAAAGTAAACAAAGAACAAGAAGTAGAGATTCAATTATCTGTATGGTGTCAATAGTGTACCTCCTACGGTAAGTTTTAGCATTTACGGAATTGCAAACTTCAGCCGACTGTATTCAGCACCGCAAAGCAATTTGTTTATTTGAAAGAACGTATGCAACGACGCAGACACGTGCCACACGAACATATCCCTGTGCGGATTAACAAAATATACAATACAAAATTGACATCCATTCTTTTATAATTTAATTTGTAGATATGACTTACTTAATGAAACTTGCAAAAATAAACAATTCTCACCATTTGTATTGCGTTGATGTACTGTTTCTGCTCCACATAAATGTGAGCGATGTTCATCCAAACATCAGGGAAGTCGGCCGTAGCCTCGCGCACTTGTGCAAAGATATCCCGGGCTTCGTTGACGCAACCCTGTATAACACATGTATACATAACAAGTTATATAGTAATCAGTAAACTAGTGCTAGATTAAGCAGTATAGGCAACTGAGAACGGCGTAGCTTTTTTTTTATTTCGAACTATTCTAACACTGCTAGCTGCAGCTTACCTTAACAACTTCACCTTACAAAATTGGGAGCAAATGCAAAGGGCACTCAAATTTCATAAAGACTAATGAAATATCTGAAGGCTAACTCCTGCTTAACGAATACGACTTCAGTCTGAGGACACTGCTAAACATTCGAACCTCATCTAAGACCGTAGTGATTTAATTCGCCTTTGGAATGTAACTAAATACTAATTAGAAGGGCGACAGAAAATACTTGTGTCTCCGTGTGGTTAGGGTTGACGTCCTCGCAAGGAAGGACAGTGTCGTGTGCGCGTGAGATAAGATAGTGAGGAATAGTACAAAAATGTACTTAATGAATGAAGAAAAGCGTAAGGTGGTCTCGGGTATCCCAAGCTATACCTGGTAATTCTCATATAGTTAAAATGTTGTTCAGTCGAATTTCACTCTACAACACTACACAAACAAAAACGAAAAACACTAAACAAAACATTTATTTTTTCTAAATTCCGATATACGTAACATAATTATTGTCATTTGTTTTTTTATTGTATACTACATAGTACATAACAAAAGTTAATAATTGTGCATCATAACTCAAATAATTTAACATATTAGAATACATACCTTATGAGCCAAAACACAACCGATGCCGTTAGCTGCCCATATATTTTTCGGATCATTCTTAAGCACCTGTTTGTACATAGCAAGGGCGCGTTCTTGATGCCTTTTCTCTCTGTCCTTCTCGCGGCACGGCTGGTGTAGAGTTTGAAGCCAAACATTACCTAAATATATGTAAATAAATTAAACCGATGTCAATAATTCTTACAAATTGTATTCTATACATATATAGATTCTATATAGAGCAGAAAGTTAATATTTATTTACTATAATTCTTAAAAATACACAAAATTAATAAAAAAAATAATTATCACACGTTCACATACACACATTTAGTACTTGCCAATTGACTTAAAATATAAATGAATTATAGTTGAATAACACACACGTTTTTAAGTGAAGGTTACAACTACACATTTGTGAAAACCTCAATTAAATGGCCTTTTTTGAAACTTTCAATGCCATATATAGATTTTTATAATACTCACCGAGAGCAATTAATGAGTATGCGTCATTTGAAGTAGAGGATATTTGCAGGATCCTTTCAAATTTCTTCTGTCCTGGCCCCCATTCCTGTTGAGCAAGATGAAGGTTGCCGAGAAGCGACCATGTGTCTGGATGTTCAGTGTTAACTTTAAGGGCCTCTTTAAACCAATCAGATGCCTCGTAGATCTGACCTTTGTCACGAGCCATGCAACCCAACCTGTTAATAATAGAAATACAATCAAAAAGTTATTTGTAATCATAATCAGTATGGGTGCTGCTTGTGGAGACTGGTCTGCTCTAAACATAATAATATAATAATAACTGATTTATTTATAATTACTCAAGTAACTATTTATTTACTTATGTCACCTAATTTTTAAGAAACTGGATAACATACACACCACTGACTCTGATTATAGACAAATTCAATGGAGTATTAATATAATGTTTTTAGAAAATCTATATTTCGATTTGGTAAATAATAATAATTAACACCTAATGATAAAACTGACTCTGATTAAAAAAAAGATGTTTTCATTTGGTCAAGAGAATATCCAAATAAATTATGTACACCTTACCTTAAATAACAATCAATATAGTTCGGATGCTCCTTTAATATATCTTTGTAAAGTTTCTCAGCTTTGTTGTATACACAGAGTGCTTCATTTAGGCGTGCCAAATTATACATTGTGGTCACTGCTATAGAGTTGTAGTACTGGGCATCTAGGGTTTCTGCATCGGCTTTCTCTCTGAAAGTAAAATAATACATTTAATAAATAGTAACATTCAGAAATTTTTATAGTATTTTATACTATCATATCGTAACTAAATACGTTTAATGATTATAAAGTCAATACAGACCAGAACTGGTCAATGTCGAAAAATATAATGGCAACTTCAGTAAAATGAAATTTGACTACAACATGGGCTTTTAAGAAGAGGTTTTATTGAGGTTTTTTAAGTGTCGGCGCACGTAGTGTCACTCATGGTGTCTCAGGCGTCCATAGGCTTTGGACCATTAGATGGGCTGTACGTTTCTTTGCCATTTTAGTTCAGTATTTGTAGTGTAAAAAAAACAATCAACAGTTTGATACAGTAAAACAAAAATAAAATTCCTATTAAGCTGTTACGCTGAATTATTCTGCACAAACTTTTATGGCCTTTTTCACCCCTTGAGCTACGAATTTGAGATAAAATACAGCTTCTTTCCTCATGATACGATCTATCTTCATATCAAATTCCTTTAAGGTCTATTCATTTGTAATAAGGTAATAAATAAAATCATTTTCACAGAATATTATTAAGCAGTAGACTAATTCCACGGGGTTTAAACAGGCCACACTTTACATTACCTCTCTAGGGCATCCTCTAAATATTTTTTAGCTTCATGCAAATTTCCAAGTCTGTAATGCAAAGCTGCCACATTGTTCAAAATTTCCGCTGGGATATCTGCATTCACCTTTTCTTTTAATATCTTCATGGCGGTACTATACGCATTCAAAGAGCCCTAGAATTATAAAATTATGTCTTATGGATGATAATGGCATGGTGCACTCGTCTGCGCTGCGCTATCGCTAGCCTTAACGCTGGCGGGCACCAGTAGAGGATAATATGAACATGAGGTCCAGTCAGTAAGCCCATCATGGTAAATTCACCATGAATTTATCACAATAGTTTTCAGGGTGAAAATGATGTGTTAACATAATTTAACTAATAATTTTTTTTTTAATGGAGAGATTTGGTGATCCATGTCTTTTGGGATAACAATAATTATAATACAAAATGTAATAGATGTAAATAAATATTAATAAAAATAATGATACTAGCTAATGGCTGCGACTTTGTCTGGAATATCCACTTAATATCTCTAATTATGATAATAATCCCATATATATTTTAATATTGTTGGCTGTAGTTCGCCTCTACACCGGAAGAAAATAGCAAGTTCTGAAGTCACATTAAACCAGCGAAGTACTAACGATGTGGCTTTAACTTTAAACACCTGATTTATGGATGCGACTTTTGTCAGGGCACTACTAGGGGGCTAGAACCTCAGCCTCGAACGTCGTAAATCTCGGATGTGACGTGAGATCAAGTAACAAATATAAGTGAGCAACAATATATGGCTCAGTTGCCTCAGGCTTCTATAGGCTTCTGAACCATTTACCATCAAATGGGCCGTATTCTTGTTTGCTACCATCGTAGCATAAAATAAAAAGAATTAATACCTGTAAATCATTCTGTTCAAGTATCTGAGCTAATTCGATCCATGCTTCTACATCGTCAGGAAACTGTTCAGTCACTTTCTTAAGATGTTGCCGCGCGATATCGCGTTTCGACTGTGACGGTGAATTCGCATATAGCGATCCGAGGATCTTCATAGTCTCATAGTTACCAGGCTGGGCTTTCAATACCTTCTCGAAGCACTGCGCAGCCTAATACGAAGAGTTTATTATTTAGCTTATTTAAAAACATACAAACATCCATGCAATGTGTTGTTTATTATTAGCAATTGTGTTAGATCATGTAATGCAAAAATTAAACAAAGTACCTACACTGTATAGATTATGAAAATATTTAATAAATGTACGTATATGAAAAATATACATAATTTTTGGCAGTGGTGTACGAAATACTCTGCCTTTTCACTGGTCGCCCTGTTTAGTAATGAACTAAAAACATTTGGAAATCCAACTTTAAAATTTGAATGGAATGTACATTCCATAAATTATTTTTTTCAACTATTATTTACGTATATAATTCTTCTGCTGGTGTGCTTATTACTAACTCCTTCTAAACATCTTTGAATTGTTTGTCCAATTGGTAATTCGACTTGGTCATAGCACTGCTTTTCCGGGCATCACAAACTCTGTATATATAAATAATTTAAGTAAAGAATATATTTACATTTTCAGTATCTCCTCTGTAAATATACATCTGGCCGAGTCCATAATGTGGCAGTACGAAGTTGGGTGGTGCAAACTGTGTGGCTTGGTAGTAATACTGGAAGGCTTGGTCACAGTCGCCCTGCGCGTGGAACGCTCGGGCGAGGTGGTGACAGCTCTCGGCGCGCATTGCTTCGTTTTCCGTGTTATGAAACGCGTGCAAAGCGAGATGCTGAACTTTGCTATAGTCCTGGTAAACAAATTGGTAGATTGGTAGTTAATTTAGATGGTCCCAGTACAAACATTTATATTCTTGCATATTATTGTTTGTAACGTTCTGCATATTTTCTGTGTATATTATGTACGTCTTGTAAGTATTTATAAATATATATATATTATAGATGCTTATTTTTTTAAGTACTAACACTTGTCTAGTACTCATAATACAAGCTTTCCTTAACTTGAGACTAGATGGCATTGTCTGGGGGTATTATACTTATACAATAGTTATAGGCTTAATGTTCTCTTTTTTAATACAGCTGATGTACTTATAAATAATAAATATCAGCTTTAAATATCCCACCTTTTTAAAGAAGAAATGGTTAGCCAAGTGATTCAAGACCATTGGATTCTTGGGATCTATGGCATATGCTTTTGACAACATGATAACTGCTATCTTATTGGATTCATTCTCCTGTAGATTAAGTTTTAAAATTGAAAGGCCCACCAGGGCTCCAACACATTGTGGATCTAACTGAAGTGCCCTTTCAAATGCCATTCTGGAAATTAATTATTAATTTAGGATTGTATGAAAAATTATAACCTATTAAAATTAGTCTTGTGAAGAGAATACATTTTTTTTGTTTTTAATGGTTATGTATTAAAAATAAAAAAAAATGTATTCTGTGTGTAGACACACAAAGTACTTATTTTATTTTAAAGTTTCAATTAAGTATATCTACAATAATATCACCTTTGGGGCAGCTGGTGCAAGATGACAGTTATGAATATATATTTTTTATTTACTTATAATTCATTACATGATTTACATTACTTATAGTTTTAAATTATTTAATAAAAAGTTAAAAAAAAATATTAGCTGTCTTCGCTGTGTAGTTCACAAACTAGTTCAATGGAGCAGGCAGTAAGGCAAATTAGTTCAGTGATCCTCTTTGCTTACAGTTAATCTGTTAAAATTCTACCAAAGAAAACAAGCAAACCTAATAGGACTTTGTACTGAGATGGGACAAACAAGTCAGGTCACAGAAGAGTGCCAAGAACAAAATTGAGCTATCTCAGTTGGGAACATGCAAACCTAATAAGCAGTGTTTTTTATGTACTCTAATGCTGCTGGCCGTTGTTGGGCTTTACAGTTTCTCCAGATGATATAATAGGGAGTATAAAATTGCATAGTTAACTTACCTAGCCTTTTCTTGATTGTTCAATTTCATAAAACAGTGTCCCATACCAAGTCTAAGAGCAGCAGGACTATCAGGATTTGTTCTAAGAGCCTTTTTGTAAAATGCTAGAGCACCTCTATAATCTTTACGATTAAAGGCTATACATGCCTTTCCAAGCAAGGAAGGGACATTATTAGGTGACTGATTCAGCACAAAGTTGAACTGTGCATCCGCTTGTTCCATTTTATCACCTTCAAGCAGGCAGAAGTAGGCTCGACCGAGGAGATGGTTCTAAGAACATTGTACACAAATATGAATATTATAAAAAGTGAATGTTCTGTGTAAACATTCTCACATATGATTTCTTACTCAAATAGGTAAATTTTCAAAGCATTATTAAATTTCTACAATATATTATTTCAGAAGGACATACTCCATGTTTATGTAATATTCCAAACTTACAAAGTTGATAGTAGTCAATAATAAAGAAATAATATATTTTTCATGTTACTTTAAAATAGAGGTATTAAAAATATTATTTAACTAATATCTAAAAAACACACTTGAAGACATAATCAGAATGTAATATATGTATTCCAGTAGTAATATATGGACACAGCACTTCCAAGTTATAACAAGAATATAATATAAAAATTATAACACTAACTTTACATTATTCTTATTAGTTACACTCAACTACATATATTATATGTAACTACAGTTGATCAATTAAATATGAGGTGCAAGACCAATCTACTGTAAATGAACTTTAAATAAATATACCATTAGACCAAATCATCAAAAATATCAAAGCTTACCTGATCATACATAATGATTTTATCTGCCATAGTGTACAAAAGTGTGGCTTTTGTGAACAGCTCTTTTTTTCTATCCTTCGACTTCTCCTTATTGGCCTCCTGAACATAATATGCGGCCAACATGTCGAGGGCTCGCATTTGGTCTCTTTCAAAGTCTCGATAGTCAATGTTTGCATCCACTCGGGATGACTCCAATATTTTAAGAAAGTCATCGATTTTCCTTTGCTTGTAATATGCGAGCTAGAACATTGGATTAAAGGTAAGTTTAAAAAGTTATATTCGAAAGTTAAAGTTGAAGCATTTGATTGTTTCCATATATCAACGTAACTATGAATTTGAAAAGTCTTATGCTTGATACCCACATTCTTAAGGAGCGTTTGAGATTATTTATACATGAAAATAAGTTAGAACGAAATCTGAGCCAAAGAGAAATAACGTGGAAAAGTGATGCCAATTGGTAGCTTAGGAGACGAGGACGATCACGCCGTTCCTTCCTCCAGACAAAAATGCAGAACACAACTGTGTGAATTTAAATATTAATAGATCATTTAAAATCACAAATACAGGTCATGGATAGCTTTTCTGAAGAGATGTAACTAAATACGTTGCGAACTTTCTACGATAATTTGTTAGGTTACTTACGGCGACATTGATCCAAACATTGAGTTGAGATCTCTCTTGTTGAAGTATACCCAGAACTTCATCTCCAGAAGGCAACTGATCTGGATCTAGCTCGATCACCTAACAATAAAACATAAAATCAGAAGTGGTATTTAATTTGACAGACCGATAAAACGTATGTTATTTCCTATAATAATCCTCACCTCATCGGTGCTCATTAAAGGAATTTCGAGCGACATTTTGAGTTTTTTTTAGTTCTACTTGCGTTTTATTATAATTTCACATCACATTTTAATAAAGACATTAAATATTATTTTTCACTAAACTATAAAAATTAAATTACAAAAGAAAAATCAGAACTGATACCACAGATTACACTAAAGAATATGTTTGTTACTAGATTAGACAGATTAAAAATCTTTTTCTATTAAGTACTTTTACGGCCCTGGATAAAAAGCCATAAACTTCTACAGACAGTGTTGTCAACAAACTTTGGGAAAACCTACTAGGCGGAACACATTCTACATTTTTGTTTCTACATACATAGGTGACGATTACCATTTACAATCGTGGCCTGTCAGCTTGTTTGTAATTCCAAAACAATAAAAAGAAAATTTTAAAACATCAATGTTGTCAAACAATCAATTTAATCAATCGATTTATCAGTAATTAAATGTTTTTTTCCAATATTAAATCATTTTTTCGTGTTACCATTACCGTACTCTATTTGTCAATGTAGTCTGTGGTTTTGTTTCTGTTTACTTACTTTTATGGTCTGTATTTCTGACTCTTACCTTTGTCATTTTAAATAAACATCTACAGTATTTATTAAAAAGTTAATTCGAAACTTTCAACTCCATTAATAATTACGTGAATTGTATTCCTCTATTCGAGATCGAAATCAGACCACAAACTATATAAAGATGCTAAAACTTAACAAAATATCTGATTTAAATATGTTGTTTGACAATTTACCACTTGACTATTTATAAATTATAAAAAATAATGGACAACATAACTGGTAAAAGAATTACCTATAAGCGAACACGACCAAATCCTCTATTTCAAGAGTGGCTTTCAGAACTGTACGAGGAAGCGAATGTGAAAAAAAGTAAATTGGAACCGATGCTGAAGGAAGCTTTAGATTCAATATCAAAATATCCTTTAACGCTTCAAACTGGAGCTGAATGTGCTATTCTTAAGGGGTTCGATAAAAAGCTGTGTAGATTCTTAGATAGACGTTTGGAAGTTTATCACTTTAATAATAGTCAAAATGTGGAGGATGTGCTTGTACCAACACAAAATATTCAATTTGAACCGAATACTATTTCTATCAAACATAGTAGTACTTCTCCGTCATTTAATATTGCTGATAATTATATCCCAAGTAGCAATACAAAATGTTCAGAAAAAAATCCAGTTGAAATGTGTCCATTAAATGAGTCGCTTTGTGATAGAACAAATAAAAATTCACCAAAAAAGATAACAAAAAAATCTAAACGAAAGATATATACACCAGCATATAGATCTGGAGGTTATGCCATTTTGATAACTTTATTAGAGAATAGTAAAGAAAATCCAGACAAACCATCACTAACAAAGGAGATGTTAATAGATGGGGCCCAAAAACATAGTGAAGAATCATTTACTAGACCAAAACCGGACACTTTCTATACAGCTTGGTCAAACATGAGCAGATTAGTAAGTAAGGGGTATGTGTTGAAAATTAGAAATAAAAAAGTAGAGTATATGTTGACTGATGAAGGAATAACATTAGCTGAAGAGTTAATGAGAGATACAGCAACCAGACCTACACTTAATGATATTATATTCAATGATATTGTAAATACTAACACAGATGTTGAAAGTGTTAGTTTAGATGGAAATTTAGTAAATAGTGTGTTGCCACATGATTTTCAGTCAAGTCAGAGACAATTGAAAAATTATTCACCAGTTAGCAATAAGGAAATAAATAATTATGTGAATGTTGAGATGGCACCTGGTTCATTTGATATCATATTGTTGATTGATAAAAATGAAACTGGAGGGTATGTTTTTTGTATCCATATATTATAAAATAATCACTTTTTCACATTTTAGCATGTTTTTTAGTCAAAGATCTATCTTTTATAAAATAAAAAAGATAATGTATATACAACCCCATGACAAACTGTATATATATTTCTTAATTTTACTCTTAAAAAACTTATTCTGACAAGAAATGAATACTAAATGTAATAGTTTTATAGAAATAGAATAGAAATAATCTTTATTCAAATAAACTTAATATAAGCACTTTTGAATGTTTAAGTTTCTTGATTCTACTGCTTATTCGGAATGCAGACTCATCAGACAAGAAGAATAATAAAGAAACTTATGTGTTGCTCTTTTAAAAAATAAATAAATTTATGTATAAATAAATAATTTATATATATGAGAGGTTGATTGTGACAATAATTACCAAAATAAATCAGTATTAATATAATATTGTGATATTTCTATCATTAAACCATGCATAAAGTATGTAGGCCCAACAATCTTTTTATTTATGTTACGATATATAGTAGCCTGTCTAGCCTATTTTCCTTGGAAATTCTTTTATTGATGAATAACTTACATATTTTTCAAATTATAATAAATTTACTGCCAAACCTGGCATAATGTAAATAAATAAGAACAAATAAACACTTGCTGGCTCATCATCAATTGATTTTCATTTATATCTTTTAAATTGTATAAATATTTTCAGATTGACAAAGAAGAATGATCCTACAGTGGCACAGTTCAATAAATATCCAGATCTAAAGCATGAATACAGAAGTTTGAAAGTTGGTGACTTTACATGGATAGCTAGAAGTAGTGTCAATAGAGAACAAGAATTAGTTCTTCCATATGTGATAGAAAGAAAAAGAATGGATGATCTTGGAGCTAGCATCAAAGATGGAAGGTTCCATGAACAGAAATTTAGATTAAGAAAATGTGGTTTAAAGAATATTATTTATATGGTGGAAAATTATGGCAAAAACAAACATGTAGGCCTACCAATACAGTCTCTAATGCAGGGTTTGTCTAATACAAGGGTGCAGGATGGCTTTAAAGTTCATGTGACAGATTCTCTAAGTAATTCTGCTAGATTCTTGGCTATGATGTCTAAAAGACTGACTATAGAATATAAGGTATGTAACTTGTACATCTAAAATTAAAGGCTTTGATTCAGTATACTATGTCATCTGTGGTATACTTATGTAAAATTTTACTTTTTTACTCACCACATACCAAATATTTTTTTTAATTTACTAGTAAAATATAGGCTGTAATAGATGTTTGAATGACTTATGGCTATGGCTCTATTAGTGAAAAATAATTGAATAAGTTTTCCATTTTTGGATACTAATATCAGTACTATTATGCTTTTTCCCTACTTACAAGCAAATTTACTTTTCTACTATTAATATTAATTGATATACATTTTTCTATCATTGCATCTGATTTTTATTACAAAACTATCTAAATTTGTTGATTAATCATTCATAGCTAAAATATTACCTAATTAATAATAAATAAACTAAAATTTATATATCATATACCATTCTCAAAGTCAAAGTTACCTAAGCTAATACTATTGGCCAAGACAGGCAACTGATACATCTAATTAAATACTCATATACACAATTTTGTTGCAGAATAAATATTTAAAAGGCTGTAATAAAGAACCAGTATGTGAAGAGTTGATGACATTTGAATATTTCAATGTAACATCATCTAAAACGAAGCCACTTACTGTAAAGGAGACCTTTATAAAATTGTTATTGCAATTAAGAGGGGTATCTGTTGAGAAAGCCTTAGCTATAACTAATGTATACAACACACCTGCACTACTCATTAAGGCTTATCAGAACAGTGATGATAAGGAAGGAGAATTCCTACTTGCTGACTTGAAATATGGTGATCTAAGTCGAAAAGTGGGACCGCTAGTGAGCAAGTCCATCTTTCAATTGTTTTCTAATAGATTTATGTTATAGTTCCTCTCCTATCTCGATATTTTTCTATTTGTATACTAGTGGCATACAAATAGAAGAATATCGTAGTAATGTTTACAAACAAACCAAGAATCCATTGAATTGTATATACGAAATGTTATTCAACTTGGTCCACATGTTTAGGAATTATGTGTAACACACGTACAGAAATAGAGCGTCAAGGTTTGTACAAAAAGTGGTAATTATGCTTCCACAATCGATATCAGGAAGTTTTTAAATAAAAATATACCGTTTAATTGTGTTATTATTTCACCCGATGTGTTAATGCATGTAGACTGCGAATGCATCAGAAGGATGAAGTTGGACTCTATTCTCCGCAATTAGCCTCTCATCTGGGACGTTGTGCGTGTAGAGCCAGGCTACTAAAGTACCCAGCCAAGTTCCTCCAAAAAGCGTAGAAGTCTCCTGGTGCCTTCACAGGCTTCACGGAGCGACCTCACCGTTCCGAGGATTTGTTTTCGTTGTGTGGTCACTGCTACGCACTCCAGGATTACGTGAGCAGCCGTTTCACAAGAATACGACAGATTAGAGATACAGATGCGAAGATAATTTAGGGAGGGTTCCACAAGAGTAAATATTTAGCGTATAAAACATATGAAAGTTTTTTTTATGTACTTGGCATGTTAAAGAAGCTGACGGCCCATCTGATAGTAAGTGGTTACCAACGCTTATACACATGAACAGCACTACCATCACGTCATCATGTGACACGTGTGATACCACTGCTGCGTTGTCATTCTGGGGCAATAAATAGTTATACCACCATATCCTGTAATTTCAATAACATACTATACCACTAAACAACTTACAAGCTGATTGGCAGTTGAAATAGGTGAGACTAAAGTACCCAGGCAAATGACTTTACAAAGTATGTTTTTTATTTTTATGCATGACTAGGTGTTACCCGCGTTTCGTCAACATGGAAATTAATGTTTATTAAAGTAAATATGTAAAATAAAACTAAGTTCCTCCTTATAACATTGGCTATCGGCGAATGAAAACCCGTCAAACTCGGTCCAGCTATTTCAGATATTAAGAACATTTTTTTACGTGAGTACCTTATATACTTTAACTACTCGCCCCGGCTTCATACGGCTTACATATATTATATATATATATATAAACTTTCCTCTTGAATAACTCTATCTATTTAAAAAAACCGCTTCAAAATCCGTTGCGTAGTTTTAAAGATTTAAGCATACATAGGGACAGATGTATGTAATGATAATGATATGAATTTAGTGAAAAGCTTTGGGGTGAGGCATCATTGAAAGATGATTAGTATGTACATTAGTACCAATGGTGTCACTAGAACTTGTTACTAACGATCCTATTTCCTCATTGTGGCAAGTGTTAATAGAACAAGGACAACACCCGTACCACTACCACCGCCGTTGATATTAGCGACTTAAATAGAATATAAATAAAAAATGTGTTATAGGTACTAGAAGACTTATATAAATACATAGATATGTTTATTATGTATGTATATAGATACAACATAATTTTGACCGTCTGCGCCGCGTCGTTTTTTCATGTAGTGTAAATTTGCATGAAACAAACTAAGCTATTAGTTTGTAAGCTACTAGTTTCACAGTACCAGAGCCGACTATTTTCACATGAATAGCAATTATAATATTAATATTTTTAAATTAGAGAAAATTAATGTAAGTTAAGTAATACAATACTTTTTATATGGTATTAAGGATTTCCTGTAAAGATCCAAATGAAAAAAAAAGACTTGGTATTATACCTTTATTAACATAACCATTTAGTGACATAAGAGCAGCAGTAAGATGACAGGAAAATCTATATAGTGGCTTGTAAACCATTTTGAATACTTATCCATATATAGTTCAGATTTAAGAGCACTTTAGGATGGAATCAACTTTCCCAGTTTACAAATTGGCATGCAAATTTACTATACAAAATAAAAATAAAACAAAACATAAAATACTGTTGTGGCACAAAAAAGTACTGTCCGTTTTATAAACCACATTTCAGACATATGCCGTTGTGTATAAAGGGCAAGATTTTCATAAAATTTTGATCAGCATATGCCAAAATGTTATTGGAGATTCTTAAATATCTTCATTTTGCACTTTACAAGCTAGTAATATAATAATACAATAGGAATAATGCCAATAGGAGATTCATTGTCTTAATTGTGCCACAACAATGTAGGTACTATTTTAGACCCTTATTTTCATCATCACATTGCGTTGCCTTATACATTAACACTTAATAATTAATCATATACTTATGACTACATACATTGTTTTTATAGATTCAGTGCAAATTCAAACTGCCTAGTGTAGTTACATTAGAAAAACGAAAATGTGGAAGATAAAAGATGGCACAGCTTTTAATCTGCAAAACTAAAAACTAAATTGCACAATTGCCATAACAAAATAAAAAAAATACAAAGTCTCCTTCAATAGATCAAATTTACAGATCACAATATTTTACTATAGGTGCATATATAAAAGCTGATCCTCATTATTCAAGCCGAGCATGGGATGTTATCAAGTTATCTAATATGACTACATGCGCAGAACATCCCAAGCAACTCAAATAACATCACAAACTTGGCTTGCAAAATGGAATGGAGCCATATTATCTTATATTACAGAGATTACACTAAAACACGCGAAACCTGTGATATAAATGCTTGTTTATACTAAAACATAAAATCTACAACATTATAATAAAAATAAAATGAGAATAAAGTTAAATTCGTGTCCAGACTAAAATACCAATATATCAGCCGCCACCATATCAATATGGATTTGTAACAAATTGCTTCAACTAGTGAACGCCGAAAACCCTGTTTGTATTCTAAAATATTCGAAATTCAAATCTAAGTGAATGAAAAAATAAATAAACTTCTCAATTTGAACTCAAGCTATATATATAAATAGATATGAAGGTTGGAGAAACTTAAAATATTCTTAGAGAGTATGATAATTTCTTTCAGTTTGATTTTTGTAGTACTTGAAACCCATGAAACCGATGGCTAGCAGGCCGAGGGTCAGTATGATGCCTCCGAAGAAACTGGGACCGTCAAAACTAGAAGAAAAAATTTAAATTCTGAATTCATCTTTTAAGTATAAAAACAAATTTCATATTTGCAAAATTTACTGATACATCACAGCATAAACAAACAACGCCGAGATACAAAATTGAAATTTTGAATAACTATTTCTTATTATAATAACATACAAACTGTCTTAAATTTGACTATCATTATTTATACAATTAGGAAAAAATATGGTATATATATGTATGGTATGTATATACCACATTTATATTTATTTTTATTTTGATTCTGATATTTCGGTAGTGTTTAAAGGGCCATGATCATGGGAGAATGAATAGCAGTGAGTAGATGGTAAATCAAATCTATTATATCCATTGAGGGACCTAGTCATGATACATATATTATTTTTACACAATAGGATCAATATAAAATATTGTATCTATAGTCCTCTAAAAGGTGTCCACTATTGTGGAGATATCCTAGCAATGTGATTTTAATTTCAATTAAAATGGTCATGGAATTATAAAGCTCTCATACTTTAATCACAAGTTGAGAATCAGCATTGTTTTGCAATAATTAAGTTTTGGACCTTGTATCAGAACTGGTTTTTGAATATATTATTCAACATTTAAAATAAGCAGTACCTACTATTGAACATATGCATTCTCCAATAGAAACAATTGCTCTTTAGATTGGTTTTTTATTTATTTTACATTGCCTATGTATGTGGCTTAGATTAACAAAAATAAATTACTCTATTCAGTAAGCAAGTAAATATCCTTTCCATCAAAAAACAATGCTATCAACATATATATATATATATATACAATTCCTTTAGAAATATGAAAATAATGGTACCTTTCTAAGTTAATTCTACTCTTATAGTCTATTCAAATACAAATAACATTAAAGTACTTACCCTCTGGCTTGGAGAACATGGTTATCAGTATTGGTGGGTTTGGTAGTAGCTTCAGGTTGAGTCTCATTTTTCTTGGTAGTTGCATGTTCTGGTACTGTTGTGCTACTGCTTGGAGTTTTGTTGGTATCATCAGTTGTAGGAATTTTGTTTGTTGTAGTTTCATTGCTAGGTTTGGTTGTATCAGTTGCAGTATTATTTGTAACTACATTTGGGTCTACTTGCTTTTTGTCTGGAGTTGTATTATTTTCTGTAGCATTAGATTTTGTAGCATTATCTTCTACTTTAGTTGTAGTTGTCGGAGGATTCTGTGGTGTTCCTTGGAGTGTTTGAACTGGTGGTATTGGACTCTTATCAGTGTTTGTTTGGGGAGCTGCTTCTTTGTTTGCAGGTGTTGGAGTTTGTGCAGCCTCATTTTTGGGTATTGCTGGACTCAATGGTTTCACAGGAGTCTCTGTAAATGTAATACAAGATAATATGTTTAAGGTTATATTTTTACAATAATTGTCCACCACCAAAATGGAAAAAAAAATACAAATTTCTTTATATTGTAGTGGTGTGGTGGTGGTGATTAAAAATTATAAGGTGCATAAGAGACAGAAAAGTACTATATGAATAAATATTTATTGATTTTATATATTGATTGATTTATGGGTATATTTGTTCCACTCTTTGGAAGGAGTGATATATTATAAAAATATATTTTTCTTAAATATAAATATCTGTATAAGAAGGTCAGTGTTCAAGCAGTTTAGCACACAGTCATTCTTTGTATTCGTGAGTATGATTGTTTATATTGGTCTGGGTGTTTTCTATGTGTGATATATATATTTTTATCAAAAAAATAATCTAAATATATAAAGCAGCTTTCCACTAAGCACAAGCTCAGTTTAGCATTGGACTAGATGGCACTGCTTAATTTCCTAAGTTATTAAATTATTCATATATTCTGCCCATATAACAAAACGAAAGCTACCTTCTCCACAACCGAGTAATATACATGGTCACTTGTATAATAAGCCCAGCCATATTTGAGATAGAATACTCATGAAACTGCATGGAAATGGATTCACCGGCACCTGCATGGTGTATTTATGGATTGCTAAGTCTGTCTCATAATTATTATGAAATACGAAAAATTTATGAAAATCATAAAATATGTAAAAGTGGATATATATTATAGTTATTGTAAGAGTTATGAATAGAATAGAATAGAATTAACCTATTTATAATATGTTTATTTATAGAGTAAATACCAAGAGATATTTTCCTATCAGCCATTATGATTTACTATCGTAGTATTATAGTTAGCTGTGATATTAAAATACCTATTTTTAGTATATTTCCCTACTTCTTTGGATTAGTAGGTTAACACTGACGTGTACAAAACACATCTCGAACCTGTTACTCATTGACTAACTAATGCGATTTAATGAAATGACCCATTGCATCTTTGTAAAGTTAAATAAATATATAATTTATTCTAGCGTTAACAGTATTACGGATAATTAAATATTTAAGGACTCAATTAAGATCTTTATTTTCAAGTAGGTCTAATTTGATTATCAATAATAACATACTAGTAAATACAAGGTGCAATCGTGTTAAAATTATAATTAAACGCAATAAATTCATGGATGCTCGATTGTTTTTCTACGTACCTTGTTTAACATCCGCTTGGCTCAGACATGTTGCTAAAGATAGCAAACAAATAAATAACACTTTCTTCATATTTGTTTAATATTATATACGTTCCTGTATTAAATAATTGAATAATTGTTGAATAATCCTAATCAGATACTTGCTGACCAAACGACAAGACAAAAAGAAACGTAAAATAAAATTCGATTTTATTCAAGTTTGACACTAATTGACACTATGATTTGACGTCGACGATTGGATTGGATTGGTTGGCTAGGATTTTTTGGATTGGTTGAATTTGACTGTATCGGAAGTTTGAAAAATAGTGACGTACCGGTCTACGACTTTGACATAGAAAAATCGGATTTTCCTAGTGTTTTAGTATGATTGATTATGATTAGAATCGATCATACATGTGGCAAGAACCAATCGATTAAAATTAAGTAATCAATTTAAGAAGACGCTGTCTTCTATTCCGAATACAATATTTATATTAAATATTAACTTAAATTTTTATCCTAATTCTTTAAAAAGATGAGACAAAAATTTTGTTAACTTCCGAGGCAACTATTATCACATTATACTGAAATATTGTACAATTAAAATTATACATTAATATATAAAATGATCATAATTTGCAAACTGTTAAAGATACTTCGAAGCATTTACCTAAAAAAAAAATTGCCAATTTATTGTGATAGAGGGCGTCAATGCATTATAATGTATAAGAAAAATGCTTAAATGCTACTAATTTATTGGTTTTACGGATACGAATAGTTTCGGTAAGTAAAATTTGTTTCTGGTAGGTAAAAGACTTTTTAGTGGGCTTGGAAAAAAAAGTATGGTGTTTTTAAATTGAAAATATTTTAGTTGGGAAGTTACTCACTCACTTGTTTAAAGATTAGGTTACCTGATTAATTTTACGACAAAATTAAATTTTGGAATGATTGATAACAATGAAATTAGATGTGAGTATAATAGTTATTGGTTAAGTCACTAGGAAATAACTACCATGGTTTCTTGAGATCACACGGAGGTCTATCTACCACTATTATAACATTGTAAATTGATAGCAATGGAAACATAAGTGGCTATTAAATGCTAACAATAGCTTCCCCGAACTATTTAGTAATAGTAGTAGTAGTTTTTAAGTTTGTTCATGAAAGTTTTTCTAATACGATACGCTGGTGGGGCATCGGTAAAAGAGTGGAAGGTTATTATGAGTGTTTACACGGGAATCACGTGAAAGAATTGACATGGCATTACTTTCATAAATTATGAAGTACGGAAGCACCTATAAACTACATTTTGTATATCCATTTACATCTATCTCTATCTACATTATACGCGCACAGACTTCGCCGGGATGCTCATAAATTAGTATAGCCTATATCATTCCGGAATTATATACTTTCAAACATTGAAACAATTTCAAAAAATGGTACATTGGTTCTGAAGTGTACTTTCCTAATAACAAAATGCGCTGTCTCTATCTCTCTTAATAATATTAGTAAAGATACACATCTATTTATGAAAAACTAGTGCCCATTTTATTTTATTAGTAGGAATCTACCTAGAGCCTCATAAGTCGTAGGTCTTTGTTTTATTTCTGCAATATAGTTGTATAACCCACTGAAATAAAACGATAGTAAAGCCACAGGATAACGTGAATTTTATTGTTATCTAAATATTCCAACCATAAAATGTTTAACTTGTACTAGACCTTCATCTGTACATACCTAGTTACATAGACAAGAAAAACATTTCGTGTTTATGGTTTGACTTATAGCCAAAAGAAATGTGTAGATAATGCAAGTTAACGTAACATTATAAAAAGGATTTATTTGCTACATCCAGAAATTCACCAATAAATGATAAGTTTTAATTCAACAACTGGATATTCCACTATACCTACTTCAAAGAATTCATTGTTGCTGAACTTCATTGAACTGGTCGATCAATAGATACGTTTAAAGCACTATGCGACAATTGAATGCCATTGAATTTGTATTTTAAAATTATATTTCATTCTTAAAACTTCGTCCGCGTGGAATTTAAGTTTATTTTCTAAAATAAAAGTAGCCTCAGTTATTTCTTATTACATCAGCTATCTGCCAAAAATGGTCCCATCAAAATAGGTCCAGCCATTTCAGAGATTAGCCGGAACAAACAGACCGACAGACAGACAGACAAAAATAGTAAAAAGTGTTTATTGGTGTATGTACCGTATTTATATTCATATGCATGTAGTAAAAAACGGTTACTTCAATATTACAAACGGACACACCAATTTTATTTATATGTATATTAATATTAATAAGTATTTTGTACCACCACGCTTATTATCTCAGATGGGATAGTAGCTCTATGAAACCGATTTTCTCGCCATTCAAAACGACAGAATTTAAAAATTGCATATTAAAATTCTTTATACGTTACTTAGCTAGGTACCTACACATACACGTATTATAGGAATAAATTAATTCAGCGAGAAGTGAGAGAAGTAACATTCATTAATTTGCAATTCATCCATGGCGCTCAGTTGTTGTCTCTGGTTTATTGTTAGGGTTGCTACAACAAACAGAAGTTGTGATCAAACAAAAAACATAAAAATGAACAAATCATTTTTATATACTAAAAGCATAAGTGTGCCCGTTTGTTTTATAAATCTTCATGAATAAACCTTTGATATACGAATGGATATTCATGCAATTTAATGTGAAGATAAATTCACATCACACGGACGGATGTAACCTCATTACCATGAATTAAAAAATACCTATTTTTATTAACAAATAAAAACAGACAAAACCTGTCAACCACAGTTCACAGATAGCTGTGAAATTAAAGGATATGAAGGCATGGCACCATTGTCCTCCAGAATGGAACGCGTAAGAGGATTGCTACACATGCTCATGTTGGCCGTTCATATATATAGGCTATGGTTGCCATTTAGGTACTATCAGGTGGGCCGTCCATTTGTTTGCCATTTCAGTATAAAAAAACTACTTTTTATGACAGCCCTATAAGCTAAACCAATGTATCCCATATAAGCCTCAAGCCGAGTATTATCACGCTTACAAACACCTATTTGTAGGCAAGCGTTAAATGCTTGATTTTGATTAATTAAAGCACCGCGCTATCGCGAATTTGATTAGGTTGTGTAGTTGTATGAATATTGAAGATCTATTCATTAGTATCCAATTTTCACTTGGTGATTATCCGCGTAGGAGAACGATAGGAGCCCATTTATTTGTAGATTCCTGAGTGGTATCAGTATAATCCTGAACGGATTACACAGTAATTATGTGGCAGTGTTCCCAATGTTAACAGTTCCGCAACCCACCTAATAAAAACTTTCAAACTCATGTTTATGCTCTAAGCTGTCTTAAAGAAAAAGGTGCATCAAGCACCTTTTTCTTTCAGTGATGCTCAAGTTATTTAATAGTTGTTTCAGGGTCACTGTATTCGGTAACAAATCGACACTGGGTTGCGACCTATAGTTTAAGAAGTACTGATCTAGTTGTTCCATTTAATATACACAAAATTTTGAAATGACCTCCGTTGGTAATCTTCGTGCTGACCAATTAACTTATAATCACACCTCAATTTGTACGACAAAAATGTAATTCGTCTATCGCCAAGTGCTGTCTTGTTCATATTGTTCTAATTTTAAATGAGAACGTATCATATGTTCAAATTTTAATCGGTCTCCTCCTAAAAATAAGACTAAGCAAAATATTGACTATCTTACTTACCTACAACCCAGCTGGTATATATTCGTAGTTTCACATGGAGTAACTGTATAAATATACAGATAACAATGTCAAGCTCTTGGCCAGCTGCTCTTTTTGCACAGAAATTGCAACAGCTTGTCTTGACACATGTAGACTTTGTAAAAACCGTCTGCGTGGGTACCTCAGCTTATTCTATTTCAGGCACAAAGTAGCCTACTTTGTAAGATGTATTCCCTTTGGAATGAGATAAGGGAGTGTATTTATGGAACACTTTTGTCCTCCGAAATGCCAACGCATGAGCGATATCGCCGGCGTCATGGTTGATAAACTAATATCCGTAGTGCTGTTCATGCATATAGGCGACGGCACAACCTACCATTCAGTTTACACGTAACAAAAAAGTAACATTATTTATTCAAATCTTAATGGGAGTATAATTAATATAAATAGATGTAAATAATATCCAGGTATCTCTTGTTAAGGATTTGAAATTCTAATTGCAAGCGGCGTTTACGTGTTTTGTGCATTATTTAAATGAGGAACATTTTAAAACCGGAGACTCATTAATTTAAATGTTTACATCTTATTTCATTTTTAAGATTGGAGTGCTTTGCAACTGCTGTAAGAAAAGGAAGAAAATTATTACAATAAGTTATTAAAACACGTGTATAGAATTTCAATATTTATTTATTTATATAAAACTTTAACAAATTACAGTGCAAAAGACGGACTTAATGTCATAGGCATTATCCACCAGTCTATCTTCGGGAAGAGCAGAAATACTTGATGGTGGCTTAACATTGATTACGTAAATTACATATATACAAATATTAGACTGAACTAAAACTTAACTAGAATAGAATAAGCATTATTAATATAACATATTATATACATATATACACATTATTTAATGGTTTTAGATTAAACAAAACTTGAATTATATATCACATTAAAATAGTAGCCATTCTTTGAAATATATTCACAAAAGGTCGTGCCTTTTCAATGAAAAACAAACGCAAATGTTGTAATTAGTCTAGGAGCAACAAGGGATTAACCGCATACATATATTGTGTACTGTAAGCCGCGAGATGTTGGCTGTAGACATTGGAGCCAAGTCTAGTCATCCCAAGCCACTCCCTCCCCAGAACTACAGCCATTCTATCAAGCCTTGCCAAGTCGGGGTGTCACAGCCAAGTAATGTTAATAAAATATGTTGATATAGACGCTGGTCGAGTTTCTTGCTAGTTCTTCTTGGCTACGGAGTGTATATTGAACTCGTTAATATTAAATAAACTAATGTACACCCGTTGTACCGCGTATTATCATTAGAGCGTATTTATTTAACCCTTCTGAAAGCGAATCGTAACAATTATTATTCTATTAATATTATAAACGCACAAGTATGAGGATGTATGTATATTTGATGTTCATAAGTAGGTATGCATGTTTGTTAATATTTCACGCAAAAACTATTAAATAAAATTCTTTTCAAATAAATCACATTCTGCATATACCTACATATAGG